ATCATATCGATATCTACACTAAAATCAAAAGGGACAAGAATGAGATTAGGTGCATAAGAATTTGGAAAGAGTTAAATTAAGCCCCAAATTAAATTGTTTAAAGTTGATTTAAAAAGCAGATGGTGCTTCTTATAGAGCAAGCCTTCTGGGATTTATGAAACAAAACAAAACAAATTCTGTCTAACAGGGACGATATTAACACCCTCCATCATGGTCTCAGAATTGGACAGAATCATCACTGACATCTATTAAAATAAGAACCACCTACTGGTTCTTATTTTATCTAGGAGCAAAGCAAGCAACTATAGCTTGCACTTTCTAAGAATATGTCCTCCTCACTAAGAAGTGATGCTGTCACACGTGGTACCTCACAGTCCTAGCCGGTTACTGAGCGCTCACTATGGATCAGGCATGGTTGCAGATGCCTCACCATGCTACAGAGGAGAAAGCTGAGGCAAGGTCACACCTATTGTCACCAGAGTACAAGGACAGGGCCACAGATCTTTCTGGAAATCTGAAGAAAACTAGACAATTTCCTTCTTCCTAGGGAAAAAACAAAAAGCCCAGAACACGGAATTTTGCATACACTTTCTGAAGACTCACAGCACGTTCCCTGCCTGTCCCCCTTCTCAGGTTTGGGATATCACTAATGTGTGATCACACCAGGTGACAATGGCACAAGGGGCGGCAGGGAGGCTCTTGGAAATAAAGGAAAAAGAATCCTCCTCAAACATAACGTTGGCCTGTAAGGAATTACGGCACAGATAGGAAAAGTCAGTTTAACAAGGCAGGACGACTCCCAGACAGGAAGCCCTGAAGTAAGGAAACGCTTGATCTAAAGAAATAACACATCGTCAGACGCAGGGTTGGTCAGAAATGGAAAATACAAAGACAGGTTCAGGAAGATGAATGCCGCAGAGCAGTTGAAGCTGCGGGTCCACCAGCTCCGAGGCCTGCATCCACCCAGCAGCCTCCCTTTTGTCTGCTCCCAGAACATGGACATGCTGGCCACAGGGACAGATTTCCCACTACAGATTCATTAGTGAGTTAATTAATTACAAGGCTTTCATGTTTCTGCGTCAATCCTGTGAATATAGTAACACAATCTGTTCGTCGAATGACTAATCTGGAGCACTTTCAGCTTTCTCATACATGTCAGTATTCACAGACAAGTTCAATCATAAAGAAACAAAAACAAACTTCTGCAACACAAAAATCTGCTTAGTGATAACATTTTACCTTCATATCTGGATCCATCTGGATATATAAAAGTGCCTTGACCGTGCTTTTTATTTCTAAAATATTCTCCGATATATCGAGCACCATTTTTAAATTTGTAGGTCCCCTGAAACACATTGATTATATCATTCATGTCATTGCTGAATGTAGCATTTACTAACAGAGCATTAAATAGAGAAAACCATCCAGTCAAGTCAACGGTTCTGACCTGGCCATGTCTTTTACCAAATTCGTAGCTCCCTTCATAGGTGTCCCCATTAGGTAGCCGCGCCTTCCCGCGTCCGTGCCTTTCGCCTGCCTCATTCCGAGCCCCCTCATATTCCTGGGTAATGAAAATTGACACAATTACAGCTACCATTCATTATGCGCTAACCAGATGCTAAGCATTTTATAAATATCATACCCTTGAATCATCCCACTATACTAAATCCTTGGCACTATACTCAATTGTCCCACCTTTCCCACCTTACAGTTGAGGTAGGTAACCACGCCTGGGCTAGATGAGGCACTGGTCCAAAGCCACACCCCAGCACATGTCCAGGGTGGAAGCCTCATTCCCTCCCTCCAGCAAGGAGCTTACAATCACTGTGATAATCCTTTACCCTGTAAACAAGGTTAACCAATTTGTGAAAAATGCTAGATACTCTAAGCTGTGTTTTTAGGAGGAACATGCTTGAAATAGCACTTGCAGGTAGAATAGTTCCACACAAAAATACCTCCCCATTTGCTTCCTTCAGTAATCCACGATTTCAAAGGCAAATGCCCTGAGAGAAGCAACTCTTTCCTCAAATGATCCCTGGGGTGGGGTGTGGCCTGAAGAGACCTTTGCCCTGCAAGGAATATCTGATGGAAGGGACAGGTAGGAGGGCACTGAGGAGTACACAGGGCTCTCTTGTCGATTAAGTTTATCTTATTTTTGAAATCCCTAGCGAGAGACTTAAGGTTCAAACACTCATGACCCAATGCTGCAATAATTACATATCTATCTATGGTTTGTTTTTGTTTTTGTTTTTGTTGAGACAGGGCCTCACTCTGTTCCCAAGGCTGGAGTTGGCACAATCTCAGCTCACTGCAACCTCTGCCTCCCAGGCTCAAGTGATCCTCCCACCTCAGCCTCCTGATAGCTGGGACTACAGGCATGCTCCACCATTCCCAGCTAATTTTAAATTTTTTTTTGTAGAGACAAGGTCTCACTATATTGCCCTGGCTGGTCTCAAACTCCTGGACTCAAGCGATCCTCCCACCTTGGCCTTCCAAAGTTCTGGAATTACAGGTATGAGCCACCATGCCAGCTCAATTATGTGTCTATCTTAAAAGTAAATCAATAAAAAATGTAACCAAAGCTTGCAATTTTCCTATCCTTCAGAAAATAAACATTCCTTACCACCTAATACATGGGTGTAGAGTGAATGTAGTAAATAATAACATGCTGAAAGCATCCAGTAATGATTTAACACAGGTATCTCATATCACACTGTATTTCTTAAATATACATAATAAAATTTATTAAAAATGGAATTGATGTATATAATCTTATTATAACACAAGTACTGACACACTACAATGAGGACTTTAGAAATAAACATCTGTTCAATTCTTTCCCTTTTCTAGCACTGTTTGGCCCACTAATTCCTGCCTAGAATATAAGGTAAAAATCGGTGACCTTACAGATTTGTTTCAGGGTTAGTTTACATCAAAATGTATAAAAGTCCCCTCCTTCCATCCAAGAGGCTTCCCAATACATCCAACACTGAGCTTCTGGGGTGGCTGAATGAGAGAGAAATCCTTTAAAATGACCCCAAATGTGATCTGAACCTAAAAATTATAGGCAGTAAAAAGTTACAAATTCAGTGGGGTCATTTGAGGAGATAAACTAGAAAGTTTGTTTGTCTGTGCAAGTGTTACAGGTTGGGCTCACCTAGAGGCAGACCCTGAACAAGCGATTTTTTTTTTTTGAGACGGAGTCTTGCTCTGTCGCCGAGGCTGGAGTGCAGTGGCGTGATCTCGGCTCACTGCAACCTCTGCCTCCCGGGTTCAAGCCATTCTCCTGCCTCAGCCTCCCAAATAGCTGGGATTACAGGTGCCTGCCACCACGTCCAGCTAATTTTTTGTATTTTAGTAGACACAGGGTTTCACCGTGTTGCCCAGGCTGGTTTCGAACTCCTGAGCTCAGGCAATCCACCCGCCTCGACCTCCCAGAGTGCTAGGATTACAGGCGTGAGCCACTGCACCTGGCCTGATTTTTTTCAGTGCTCTCCTGGGAGAAAGTAGTAAAGAGGGCAGGGAAGAAGACATGAAAGGGCAGGCAGCTAAGGAAGGATGCCATTGCAGGTGAAGTCCCAGACTTGGCCTAATCCAGCAGGCACTCTAGGGGCATCAATTGCACTGCAGACTTTGTCCTGCTTCTTGCACTAGCTACTGGCTGTCTGGCTGGATGTGAATTTCAGGCACTTCTGGCTCTCCATACTGGGCAGGTAGTTCCAGTGCACAGAAGTGGTAGCTGAGCAGCAAATCAGGCAGAAGCTGGAAGATGAGTGCCCAGAGCTAGCAAAAAGGTCTGGGCAGGTACTGACAGCACTACTGCAGAGTGGCTAGATTTTTCAGTTAATTCTGAAAGTAGAGCGGCTGAGGTTCCCTACCTGTCAGCCATGGAGAGGTCACCCTATGGAGTAGGGAGGAACTGCTTTCTGGGTGGTAGAAATATTCCCACACAGAACCCAGCTCACAAGCTGGGTGTGCAGCTCTTTCTCCTCTCTGCTGCCTAAGGCAGGAAATAACTCCAAAGACCTGGGTCAGTTCAGAAGGGACTGAAGAAAGCACATGTGAGGATACACCTATAAGGTAATACCTTCAGGAACCCTCTTCTGAGCCCAGGGCCTCCTCAGCATTTCTTGGAGTCTGCCAGGAAGCAACTTTCCTCCATGCATCCAAATGCCGGGGGAGCAAATCTCAGCTACAGAAATGACTTGTTCAAGGGCAGTATGGCAGCGTGGGATGATCTGCTCATCTAAGAAAACTGCCTCGATGGGAATTAACACAGGGAGGAGGAAACTTCCAAAGCCTTCTGCTGGGAAATCTTTGCCTTTAATGGGAGGCAGGATGGGGGTGGGGGAATAACGAGGCGGGATGTGGTAACCAGATGTCATTTCACCTTTCACCATCAGCTTCCAGGATGCACGTAGGTGTGTCTGGCGTGGTCCTCGTCCCTGCCGGGGCCTCCTGGGAACTGTGGCTCAGACCTCTGGCTTCTGCCCCTCCTCACTCTCCAAACCCAACCTCGACGTTTCCCCGCCGCTGCGCACCCCGGGAAGCCCCTTCTCATCAGGAGCTCTCACCCCAATATCATTCTCTCCCTCCTCCTCCAACTCCTCCGAGCCCAGGTCCGACATGGTCTCGCCTCAGCCTGGATCCCAGCCGCAACGCCTCGAGCAGGTGGGTAGCAACCGCCTCCACCGCTGCGTCCCGCGTCGCCATGGAGACGCGGCCGGCCCCGCCTCCCTCCCGGCCCGGACGATAGGGAGCTGGGACTGGCGAGGCGGACGGCGCGGGAGGAGCCACTCGCAGCCTTTGCGTACTGTCATAGCAACGGGAAGGGCATCTCGACCAATCACCGCCCGGGAATAGTGAGGGGCGGGGTGGAAGGGAGGAGGTGGAGCCAGTGGCAGCACTGGGGTGCCGTCATAGCAACGAGGGGCCGCCTTGGCCAATCACTGCTCGGGAAGGGAGGGGGGCGGGGACTGGGCAGGGCCTGGGCGGGTTCCGTGCCTGGCTGCCCACCGGGTCTCTGACCTGGACCTCGCTGTCGCTGGCCCCTGAAATCCATCACTTTGGTCGGCTGTTCTGTGACGCCGCAACAAGGAGCCACCTGGGTACTGGGCCTTCAAGAGGAGGGACGCGGGAATCGCGTCCAGGCCAACTCTCGAGAGGGTTTCACCCCTGCCCAGTGCGGGCACTGCCCGCTCCCTTCCGTCCCCGGGCCTCGCAGGTCCCCGGGGGTACTGCCCATCTCCACTTACCTTTCTAGGCTCTTTGGACCCTTCAGGGTTCGCGGATCGCAGAGATGTGTCCGCCAAGATCTCTTCTTTGGTCCGTAAACAACTTCATTCTCAAGGAGGCAGCTCTGGCCTCTCAGCAGGTGCGGCCTACACTGATGTCCGTCCCGGTTTGACATCATTCCCCGACTCCGACGGCAGTCCCAGCCCCCTCGGGCCTCTGACTCTCAGGGGTCCGGTAAGGATCTCCGCTCCTCTCCGCTCGCTCCTGGCTCCCCTCCACTCACACGCACCCACAAAAATCAAAGGCGCACACGCACGTACACGTGCAGGCTTAGCACTCTGCTTCACCTGACGCACTCCGCCTGCCCAAGGCCCCTCATGATCTCCCATTTCCTCTGCCATCATCCCAGACAAAAAGCTGTGTTATTTGTTGTTGCTGCAGGAGCTGGGGAGGAGTGACTGAATAACCACAGGATTTAGTCTTGATGGCAGAATCCCAGAAGCCAAATCCACGTGGTGAATAAGCTGCTGATCTTTCAGAGCACACATCCCCTGGAGAATCTTCCCAATGCTAATATGAAAGTTTACAACCATAATCCATCATCAGGCCCAAATATATTACTTACTGAATAAATACACAAGTTACAAGCAACACACAAGAATCCAAAATTATGTCGTTTTTTTAGTTGCAAAGATAAAAATGTTGTAAACACCAAAATTTAACAGCTTTTCTTATGGGGAAAAGTGGGGAGTTGGGGATAACAGATGATTATTATTTTCTTCTCTACATATTGGCAATTTCCCAGTTACTACAATTGAGCATGTCTTATTTTTATAATAAAATGCCAAAAGTATTTTAAATGTTAAAAATGTAAAATGGTAACATAATCAAGTATATGCAAATAAATAGTCATTTTTTACATTTAAAATGTCAGAAATTCAACTTTCAAATTTGTCCTAACAATGACAGTAATCAATGTTTACTAAGTCCTGACACTGCATGTGGGCGCTGTTTTAAATATTTTATGAGTTATCTTATTAAATCCTCACTATCATTTCTCCATTGTACATCTAAGGAAAGGGAGTTATAGGGGGGTATAAACTAAAAATAACCTCCTAAGCCCCACTACATCCAACTGAATGGACCCCCTCTTGGCCAAGGGGACCCCAGAAACCTTAAAAACTGAGTTATCAGCCATGATGGGAAGGGAGGTCAGACATGCCTCACTAATACCCTTTTGCCGTTTAGACACAACAACTAACCAGCGTTAATGTTAATATAGAGATCATAAGACTGACAGAATGGACTCTGTGGCAGTAAGATACCAACTTATAAACAGGACCTAAGGCCATGCCAGGCATGAGTTAAGTCATGCACCCCTATACTTAAAAGAATAAACTATATTTTAACTACTTGGAGAAGGTCTTATGATTCATGTTTTACATTTTGTACTTGAGTAAAGAATATTACTGTGAATCTCTCAAATCTTATCATGAGTTCCTCAGACTGTTGATGTACTAATTAATACGTAAACAACTGACACTGAAAAGGATACTGATTTGTTTCTAAATCATGACGTTTCACTGATTGTCTTGTGCATACGCAGAAAACATTTTAGCCTGTATGTTGTCATCAGTAGCCATTGATTGTAACCTCTATATCATCCCTCCAATGAAAAAAGACAACTCCAATATTAGGAGTCCCCTTCCCATTCCTCAACTTTCTTATAAAACCATTGCAACTTGTAACAGACTTTGGAACACACCCAACTTTGTTGCTGTGCCTTCCCCATTCAATCTTCAAATTTGACTTTCAATAAGCCTTTATCAATTTCTGCCTCAATAGCCTTAACTTTGGCCCACAGCAGTTAAGATCGTTGCCCAAGATCATACAGCCAGTGGGATTCAAATCGAGCCATCAGACCCAAGAGCAACTGTTGCTCATCACTATACTGCCTCCCAGATCTGTGATAAAGAAATAACTACAGTTTTCTGGCAGTGACTGTAAAGCATCTACCAAGCAGAGGACCACTGGTTCAAATGCCTTGGATTGCAAACACCAGGGAGTGGCTTAAGCAAACCACATGGTTAAGCAAACCCTGTTCTGGATCACATCCTTAGCAACTAGACATCTAGCTACAGCTATTAAATCCTAAGGTTTACAATTTGATCTCTATCCCGTACAAATTAGCCAGGGTCTTCCCTCCCAAATCTTTCAATCTATAGTAATTTCAGTACACTGTGGGTTTAGCAATTATCCAAATAATTGACAAAGGCAAGAAGGGGTGAACAAGAGGATGGGCCTCCCAGCACCTCCTGCAGCAGCACCTGGACTGGATTCTAAATTCCTCCTTCCAGAAAGAAGCTGCACCCCAGCCCAGATTCAGCTGAGAGCCACAGCTGCCAAGAGGCAGTCGGAGCGCTGGGCACCTCTCTGCGCACCCAGGAAGCCCCAGGAGGACTTCATCAAGCCAAGCGGATGCCTCACTCAGAGCCCCAGGATCCCTGACTCCTGACCCCACAGTGACCTGGAAATGCCTGGTAATGCCAGAAGAAGCGCTTTCCAATTCTGAAGGCCCTCAAAATGCTTGCTCAGCCCATCTTCCTCCTTTCCTGGGGCATGGGAGTGGTGGGAAGATGAGAGGCAGAAAGACGAGGACATCCTCAGAAGGTTTTTCCTTACTGGAAAATGAGAGGAAATCCTCTTCCACCGTTTAAAAATCAAAAGGGGCTGCCCATCTTCCTCTGGCAGGGGTCTCCCATCATCCCCCGCGAGGCCTTCCCATTATCCCCTGCGGGGCTTTCCCATCATCCACAGAGGCCCTTCCCATAACCCCCAAGCGGGAAGTTCGTGCAAGTGCCGCTCTGCAGGGAGGAGCGAGGGCCGAGGGGAACACCCTCAGGAGAGTGGAGGGCAGCAGTGGCCGCGGTTCCTCTGCACTTCGTTTCTTCAGTAAGAAATGATCTTCTTGTCCTTCTTACGTAGAAATGGAGCGATCCATTTCCTTTTACCCATTAACCCCTTCAAAAAGAAGAAAAACAGTCCCAGGCCGGCCATGGTTGATATCTGCAGAGGGGCTGGTCAGGGTGCCTTCTGCTTCCTGGTGGGATGGCCAAGGCCGGGGAAACTGTTGAAACCACCCTGGGGCTGCCTTCTGTATTTTCCACAACCTTCCAGGCCCACCTCCCAGCTGGAGGCCCTGCAGCTTGGCAGTTGCCATGGCGACTGAGTCCCTAAGAGTGTCTCTTCTGAGCTCTCCTGGGCAGTGTGGAGAAAAGGCCTTAAGAACTGAGGGGCTTCGGTAAAATGCAAACAGAATTTTTTTGAAGTTCTGTAGGCAATGTTCAGATAAAAAGCAGGGACTTTCAACAAAATGAGTTCAGGCCCATCTTAACTATAGAACCATGAGGTTGTTTATTAGAATAATTGTACTCTGGTAAATTTACCAATTTCATATATATGCATATTTATAAACAAATATATTAGGGTATATAGATAGAAAAAGTTCTATCTACATGTACAATTGAAAACTTTTTAAAACAGTGTTGGTAGTATCACATATTAGCATTTAGAGGATAGAGACAGACCCGGGATTGGAGCCCTAGCTCCATATACTTCTTTCTGAAGTCAGTCTACTCATCTGTAAAATGGGCTGTTGTGAGGTCAAAATGAGATATTCATAATGAGAGTAGCAAATGCCTAGCATACAGTAAAGCACTTAGTAAATGGGAGCTGTTACTATTAATTGTACTGTTGTTAATCTTATAATAGGTTAAGCACCTTTTGGCTATCAGTATGTTTGGGGGAGAATTTTAGCTCAAGTTTGTCTTAATCGTTTTCAGTAGAGGTTTTTTCTTGAAAAGAATCAAACTGCCAAAGATGATTCAGTCAGATAGTTGTTTGTGACAATCAGAAGTTAGTCTGTGATGAACAGATTAGTTTTAATGCTCACATTCATTAGCACTAATATACATAAGGGTGGGGAGAGACTGAAGCTTCTGGATATATATAGACAGGTAGATTCTTAAGTGTAAGTAGGTATTTGAACTGTTTGTGGATTATGTCTCATAAAGTTGGCACCCAGCAAGGAGGAAAATGCCAGATACACACACGCCCATACCTGAGGTATGTAGGTCAGTGGAAGGCTATTGAAACACAGCTGTCAAGAGAGAAATGTAAATTATTTTTCACCCAGGAAGTGAGATTATTCCGTGATGTATCATAACAAGTAGGAGAAATAGTTTAGTGGACACCTGTGTGGAGACAAGAGACATCAGAAAGTTGGATAGACTCAAATTTCACCTTGGGTAGCAACTCAAGGACATAGCTCAGTGCTTGGCACATAGTAAGTGCTCAGCCAACACAGATTTATCAAATTGAGTGTTAGATATTATCTTGCAACAGAGCTGTGCTTTATGCAGCACTAGGAAAAGAGAAAAAAGTGATGTGATTTTTTTTTTTCTTTTTCTTGTTTTTTTAATTCTTCTTAACACACTCCATTTTCCGAGGGCTCTCTCAGGATATCAGTTGCTTAACTACATCTGAGTGTCTTCTAGGTAGAGTACTAGGGGATTACAAAGAAATGAGAAAGAAATTACAGACCCATTTGGGGGCAAATTCTACATAAATCTACACTGTTTAAAAAAAATTACCAGGCTGGGTGTGGTGGCTCACGCCTGTAATCCCTGCACTTTGGGAGGCCAAGGTGGGTGGATTGCCTGAACTCAGGAGTTCAAGACCAGCTTGCCCAACGTGGTGAAACCCTGTCTCTACTAAAAATATAAAAAATTAGCTGGGTGTGGTAGCAGGTGCCTGTAATCCCAGCTACTCTGGAGGTTGAGGCAGGAGAATCGCTTGAACCTGGGAGGCAGAGGTTGCAGTGAGCCGAGATCGCACCATTGCACTCCAGCCTGGGCAACAAGAGCGAAACTCTATTTCAAAAAAACAAAACAAAACAAAAACCAAAACTATTATGCCTTCTGGCTACATGTTAATCCTTCATTCCAAAGTGGAGGTCACACTTTCCTACTGGTGGATATGCCAGGTTGGTTCTAGTTTTGATATTGCAGATAGCCTCACTCTAACCAGCAGTTGTGGTGGGAGATCTTGTGCTACATGAGGCTGTAGTTTTCAAGATCTAAGGGTGGATCAGATTTTCTAGAAAAGGGACAGGGAAAGAGGTGGCATGCTGAACCACATGCTCATGATTTTCCCAGAATAAGGCTCCCCCTGCCCAACTTTTAGAGAGGTCATGATCAAATAAGATAATGAGGATGAAATGATTTGGAAGTGCTATAGAAATGTAACATGTATATTTAGCTCAGGTTTTAAAATCTTTTAATTATTTAATATTTGATGCATATAAAAGAACACATATTTGCATATGCCAGCAAAATAATACAGTGAACACCTGTGAACCCCCTGCCCAAAGTAAATAGATGAATGAGTGAATGAAATCAATATGAACATCTGAATGCATAGATCTTTGTCTACATCTCAAATTCAGCTCTTTGGATTGCAGCTTTATAGAATTGAGAAATTGCTGAGCCTAAATACATGTTGCTGCATTGCCTCCGAGAATGGCCAGACCTATCCCCACTCTCAGCAGAACAGAGTGTGTGACTCACTGCTCCCTCGCCTACTGTAAGTCATT